CCGAGTTTAGTTTAACAGTGATGATAGGTTCAGTGAGTTACCTGTCTACTTCAAGTGAAGAAATAGGGTGGAAAAAGTAATTAATACAACTGCAAAGTAGGAAAAATAAGGCAAACTGAACTTGAAGTCCATTTCAATCTTAACATGGAGAGAGCCTATGATGTCTGAGTGGGGCGCTGATGTGTTGGTACGTGCTAGATCAGTGCAAGTGAGGGCTTGATCAATTAGGTTTGCGAACATATGTTATACATCTGCCATGCGAAGTTGGGGGGAGGAGTGTTCCAAATTATTGCATACTTGATGAGGAAGAGGTTTTCCCGAGTTTTTTATCTGTATTTCTCAACTTTGACGGTAGATACTTTGTTTCGAAGTACGTATTCATGTGAATCTCGGACATGAACTATCTTACGTGTAGAATGAGTAAGGTTGTTGAGTAGTTCGAAGTAGAGAATCAAATAAGACCTAAGGCTTCTCTTCCAAAGGGGTTCTATTCCCAAGATTTGGCATCGGGAACTATAGTCAATGACTGATTCAATGTTGGGTATTTTGCGGGTGAAATTTCGTTGTATTCCTTCCATCTTTAGTATACTAGATAGGCGTACGTAGAAAATTAAGAACGAGGACTATTCAATGATGGGCTTTACATCAACTTTATTAAGAAGGATTTTAGATTCATTTTGATAGAAATCCCAGAGAATGGAGCTGAGCAACTTCCGCATTTTAGATGCTTTGGCTGAGATGGGTTCAGAGAAATAAAACTGTGTGAGTAATGTACTTCTAGGTCAGTTACTGATGCCAGTATAGGCAGTGTGTTGTTGTTAAGTGTTTATTTTATTTTAAGAGACGTGTCTCCTATGCATAATCAACCGCATTTCTCTGTGTTGAGGTCTAACCTCTAGCGTTTGCACAAGTCGTCTACCATTTTGAGTTCATGTTGAGTTGTTTGCATAGTACTACGTACATCCCAAATGTCAGTTTTATAGATGACGTTTTTATTGTCTGTGAAATGAATGATCAGTAATTATTAGGACAAGTGTAATGAAAATGATATGATCAAACTCATAAACAGGTTACGTAAGATCAAAATCGGAAATAAAAGAGTTGAAAAAAATGAAGTTCCGTAAAAAAATTCCATGAAGGAAGACACAGAAAAGGTTGGAAACATATAAATACAAGGTCAGGGTAAATTCAGAGATTATATGAACACGTTCAGAGTACAAACATTGAATTTATTGATGTGCATTCCTATTGAATGTACTGTATATAATAGCCAAATTATGAAATCGTATGGTAGATTTGGTTGGCTTCCGTCAATAATTTCAAACATTGGAGTTTCCTCTCATGCGGTAACAGGTATTGACTCGATGTGTGAAGATAGGACTCCTTATCGGTCTGTTTTGTCCCTTGCTCAATCTTGTGGGTAATGTTTGAAAATACGATAGCGCGTTTGCTAGTTATGTGCTTAATACGAGTTGTTGAATGTGTCAGCTCTAATAATCTGTTTATCACATAGTATATTTGCTGGGTAAGGTATTGTACTGCAATCATATATTTGTTTGCGTGCATAAACTCTGGTAGTTGTGATATATTTTACTTTGTCTGGAGACGCCTGCCTATACACTGTGCTGTGCGAAACTTTCAGTACAATTCATAAGCGCATATTACACACACGTTGTTAGTCACAAACCATCAACATGTCTTCTCAACTTTCCACCTCAGATTTACTCCACCCGGTTTACCGTAATCATCGTACTGTGATAAGCCAACAACAACACCAATCAAAGTAGTTGGCACATTTGAAGCAATTAGGAGGTAAACGTGCCTCTTTTTACTTGTCTATATATATATGTTTACCATTTTTCATGCTAAATGTGTGTGCGTCTATTACTGTACAGACCGTGATGTACATACTGTCTTTATTGATGTTGCCTTCTTTTCCGTGATGAGGGTATTGTTTTACTCATCTTACATTACTTTGTCGCATCAACCATCCCATCTAAACTGTCGTGATGCACTAATCTTCATTCCTACACAAAGATGTAGGTAGTGGTTATCTAGATGACGAGTCACAAATGGGGAGAAAAGTGCATCATATATTCCATTGTTGGTCACCAGCCATCTTTCGTTATAAAGATTGAGTTATATTGCGAGAGAACCAGATGAGGACAGACGAACGTATTGTATTCGGAATTCGAAATCGGGCAGTCTTCAAGTACAAAGGTATCATTAATTTATACAAACGTCATAGACCTGTACATCGTATGCATTGAGGAATAAGATTTAAAAAATTGAGAATTCTGTCTGATTCATCGCATTGAATATAACATAACATCACGTTCCATCATTTCTGTAATATCCAATAAAATATTCAAAGTAATATTGATTACCTCTTTAATCTCAGTGTAAACGTGTTTGTTTAATGAACAAACATATTTCTGTTGACCTCTATTGTTTATAGAATCAACTATGATTATACTTTGTTATCATTGATCACCTCATTCTATCTCAATAATCAAATAATACGACAATGTATGTAGTCTATTCTGTTCAGTGAGCGTTATATGAATGTTGTTTAGAATAAAACAACACCGTTTTCTAATAATATCACCTACATACAGAGATCAGAGATGAGTGAAATTCTCATTCTACAAATTAACACTACTTTCCTAAAAAAAAGATGAAGTGAAAGCAAACCTCCTGGTTGTCAATTCATAGATGATCTTGCTCCAGCTATGAATAAACACTCCAATCATTTACCATCTCAGTTGTATTGTTCAACTGATTTTATTGTTTATGATAAGGATAAGTCTTGTTTGTGATTCCTGTTTTGTCACACTTCTGATAGATTTAGATACACTGAGTGAGTTGCATAGTGTAAAACATGGAGTGTATCTCTTTGGTGATGTGAAATTAAACTACTATGGTTAACACGAAAATCCTTGGATCCATGGATTAATCTGACCTAGGTCACAGTTAGAAACCCGGAAGCACCGGAAGGCTGTTGAATATATAATGTTAAAATTACTGCTATCTCAACAGATACCCATTCTGACAATATTATAATGCTGTTTAAAGTTTTGTTAGAAAAAGAAAAGTCTCATATATATTCCATCTTTCGATGCCATTAATAACGCTGACACTCCATTTCGAGAAAAGCTGAATGACTTTAAAAACCTTCTACAACTTCGTAAATTTTCTTGTACATAGATTTCATTTTAATAATTTGAAAGATATTTCATTTTAATTAACATACAAATTCTTGGAGGTGTTAGATGCAAACTAATGTTTGAACTGAAGAATAACTGTCTAGGTGGGCTAGATACGCGCTCTTGCCCGGTTGAAAGCAAAACAGTGTGATTGGGTAAACTGACCGTTCTGAAATTCTTTATAAATTTAAATGTACCCTATTACCTAAACAAATATGACCACCCAGCTATTCAGCCAATAATTGTTCAATGAATCAAATCTAAATTACAATAAATAAGGAAGTTGATAAAGGATGCGAGAAAATTACCAATCGCAACAAATCAATGTTATTCCATCCTGTCTGGATAGATCACGCACAGATTCGTTCAAAACATACTACTTGACTGCTTTATAACAGAGAGTGTTTTCAATTCTGGAAGTGTACCTCAATTCACAATCAAAAATGTACAATTACAGTCAGTACAAGCAACGCAATCAAATGGAGTAACAAACCAATGCGAACCGATATGGCTACTGCCAAGACCTAGTATCAAGTAAACACAACATAAATACAGTTCAGGAAGAAACATGGAAACTTAGTGAAGGTGTAAGAAATATTAAACCCAAAGTAGAATACGAAAAATACCAACTCAAATGGAATCAAAAGGAATAACAAAATGCAAAACCAAAAGAATCAATAGGAACAAACTACAAATGTATACAAGGAGGGATGTTCACACGCATACACACACACACACAAAACCTTCAAAATGGATCTTACAGGAAGTATTTTTCCGTTCAAAACATCAATGACAATTGTTGTGTAAACGAATTATTCTTTTTAAAATCAACGTCAGATAAAAAGAAGAGTTAAAAGCAAAAGTAATCAGTACAAAAACGTTTGTTGAAACTGGAGGGATAAAAGGTATGATACTTTACAAAGCTAGTTATTTCACACCAGACTAGTTTCTCATAAATCCATGGGAATGGGATCGATTACTAGCCAAGTTGTGCTCAATAATGTGACCAATCATTGACGCGAACACTTCAAAGTTTCCTTTTTCACAAATCTCTCATCTTATTACCAATACAACGGCAGAACTGTTAATAGTTCATCATTCACTCTACATCTTTTTTCATTCCTACTTGAGTATAGGCTTGACCTTCTGAAATTATTTCATATTCAACACATTCATAACACATCATTAACAACAGTCTTTCAACCAGATTTCACTCAAGAGTGAGTAGTCAAATGACGAAGCATTGAGGTGCTTTGTTGAATATTGACACCGCATTCCGACAGTTTAGTTTAAAACAATGATCACATGATCACGTATACACGATACTGTTAATTGACAAGTGCAATATTGTAACCTCTTGTGAAATTACCCATGTTTCTACTGAATGAAAACAACGACACAAATACAAAAAATTATATTTTTATATTCTACCAACAAAGTGACATCAGTCATTACGTAAACAATCATTATTGTGATATGCAGTTCCATGAAACAATCTTCAATATATTGAAATGATTAACAAAATGAAAAGTGTGTTTACTAAACTAAAAAATGAACATAACAAAGTCAACTTGATGAAAACAAGTGACAAGCTGTTTGTTGGGACTATGCATAAACTCTCTTCCTTCTGTAGAACCACAGCCAAATGCCACAAGCAATGCATACAATAAGGAAAGATATAACTAATGGTACAACGATGTAAACGTATTGCCGTGATTTTCTTTTCTCAATGTCTTCAGTTGTATCAGTGGTCATGTTCTGAAATGAACAAAATGTTATAATGTTTACAAAATATCAAATATTTACCAAATGTGATTCAGTGCTTGGATTAGTCTTCTTCAATTCATTTATTAGATCAGTTTCAGTAGTTGTTACAGTTGTTGTATCAGTGGTCATGTTCTGAAGTGAACGAAATAGTATAATGTTTACAAAATATCAAATATTTACCAAATGTGATTCAGTGCTTGGATTAGTCTTCTTCAATTCATTTATTAGATCAGTTTCAGTAGTTGTTACAGTTGTTGTATCAGTGGTCATGTTCTGAAGTGAACGAAATAGTATAATGTTTACAAAATATCAAATATTTACCAAATGTGATTCAGTGCTTGGATTAGTCTTCTTCAATTCATTTATTAGATCAGTTTCAGTAGTTGTTACAGTTGTTGTATCAGTGGTCATGTTCTGAAGTGAACGAAATAGTATAATGTTTACAAAATATCAAATATTTACCAAATGTGATTCAGTGCTTGGATTAGTCTTCTTCAATTCATTTATTAGATCAGTTTCAGTAGTTGCTAGAGTTGTTGGTTCAGTGTGAACATTGGCAATCGGGCTCTTCAGAAGAAAGAAACAGTGGAAATATAATTAAATATCAAATATTTCACCATTCATTATACACCATTGTCAGTATTGATGACAGAAGTGAATTCAACAATTAGTAACATAAATAACGTTTGCACTATGTGATCAATGAATAATGATTTAGGATATCTGCTACTGATTTGACGGTCAACGTGGTGAGTACACATTATCCTACAACTAACTGACAACTTATTTGTGTGATGAAATTTGTTTGCCGGATGGTTCACCTTAACACAATGTAAATAATTAATAACGAACCAATAACTGACGGCTTTATCGAAGCCATGAATCCAGAACACAAATTTCTGAACAGGGTATCAGGAATATCTGTTCTGAAATTCAACAATGTGAGTCCACGAACTTTCACTTTTCAAACATGACGCAGAATTTATGACAGATTATTCTTCATCATTCAAACTGATCTAATCGGCATTTTGTAACACTTCACACATACAGACGGTTTCATATTGGACATTGAGAATCACTACACATTCTATGAGCAGGAGAATTACCATTTTTTCAAGCATAGGTGTCAAATGACGCTTCTGTTGATTGCTGAATGTCCACATGGAAACATAGTATCGTACTCATATCTGATAAAAGATCATCCAAAGTATACAATACACTACTTGTTAGCAACAAGAAAATGTCCCTCCGAGTAAATAGATTTACTATGTAGAATATGGTAATATTGTAAACAATCTGTGAAGTCTACCAATTACTTACTTTATTCTTGCAACCATTTACTTTGAATTCATGAAGATCCTTATCATTGCTGGTAATGCACATGTTGGCTGTTTCACACCATATGCACGTTGTATTTGATGTTATTGGGTCTGGACATGCTTCAGCCGAATTGTGTTTTGAACAATCTTCAGTGGGAAGAATGAGGTGATTGCATTTCAGGTTATCAAACAAAAGGTAGGTGAATTACTAAACATATAACTATAACAAGGTGATATAGTGATTGTTTCGAAATTAGGCGACTATTTCATTCACTAGGAATTTGTCATCAACTCGCGCAATGGGAAATTCAGCACACGTTTTTAGACATTCACATTTCACGACAACATTTTGGTTTTGGATGGAAATACATCCATAATGAGCAACATTTTATTCAACGAATATTAAAGTCGATCTAAACATTGCATTATGAAATGGTCCTCTCAGTTGTCGAGATGCTATTTCTATGTCCTACCACATGATGAAGTGAAAGGTGTGCAAGATTACTCAGTGTACATATTCATTAGAACGAGAACATAATCATACCATGTCACTCACATTTCACGACAACATCTCGGAAATGAATGAAACTAATTTGAATGTTCAACGATGATTATTGACGTGCGGATTCGGTAGATTTTGATGACTGTTCTCATTCAGAAATGTACACACTAAACTGTCACCTGGTTCAGCAAAGCCCACTGCATTTAATTTCTAACAGATTTTGAGTTTCATTCATTGAATTCAGTCTGATAATGAAAACGTGTCTCATATACCGCTTCAACAAGTAAAAACTGGTAAATAACATTGTAAACTCACTCACAGTGACTATTTTGAAATCCGTGCAGGAACGTCAGTTGTTCCCAGACAATAAATTCACTTATAATTATGTTAATTCGATCGAAATAAAGAGATTTCATTTGACCTATCGTTATGGAAAGTTTCAAACTATGTGATCACATTATACTCTGTATGCTGTCGGCTAGTACGTCACACTATTTGAATCATGAACATTCACCGATAGTAAATTATATTTTATCCAACGAATGTTGGAGTCAATCTGAACATTAGATTATCGAATAATCTCAGTAGAAGTGATGTTATTTCAATACTCCAACATATGACGAATGGAATAGCTTTCGCGAATACTCACCATACATATCAATGAGAAAGGAAACACTTACCTAACATGAAAATCCTCAGTATTTTTGATACTTTACAAGTATCTACTACTTATGGTATATCAAATTCTGAACACCTGACCCGGAAACTGAGACATTATTTCCAAGTCAACTAAAATTTCATGGAGTGTTTTCACGATTTTAATAACTCAGGAAAATTCAATATCACATGTAGCAAGTTGAAAAACTATGGACACTTCCAAGTCAATGCACAATCAACTAACCGACATATATTATCTCATCTATCGTCTTGTAACATCGTGTACGCTTAAGTGAATTTTGCCAACGTGAGGACGTGAAGGACATCCGTCCATCATCATTCTAAATAATCAACAGTGAATCCACTTATAGGATAGCTTGGTTTGATAGCTAAATTTCATTTAATTATTTACTGAAATTGCACATGAAATTTTCAATTTCTTTAAACAAAACCGATGCAATGAACTGTGAAAATAGTCATTTCTGATACAATAAGGTTTAACATACCCCCGAGAGGTTCCCACACCACTAACGTTCCATTTCGGACCCATTTTTTAGGTACATTTATTTCAGATACTTTCTTATCTTGTGAAATAAATTTTACAGAAGAAAAAAACCGAGATTTTGTTTAACGAATGACTGTTAAAAAATTGGATTGACTTCTCTGAATATCCATGATGAAGATATTCACACACCATAGTTATATTACTCAGTATACCAGGTTAAGCGTGCGTCAGCACACGTGGATCGTGAAGTTCATTGTTTACGGAATTCAGCATATAAAACAGAAACAACACCAAAACGATGTCATCAAAACAACGACAGTCGTTTTTGTGACACAAGCAAGGCTGTCGGTTGTTCGAATGAAGACACAGATACTTGATTTAAGTTCACTTGAATTCAGTGATTCACTGTTCAAAAGAATTGATCAAAACAAGCGGTTTACTCAGGACTAGTTTGAACCTGGATTTATTATCAAATATGATATTAAACTTCGCTTCAAGATGTGTGAACACATCATCCACATTGAATTTTCAATAAACAGTAGTGTTTGGACAATGAGTTTACCAGAAGCATTCAGATTTTATTTCACACGTTTTTCATAAGCACTTCAATGATACTTCGATCAACCTGTTTTCACACAATACTACTGAATAATGTAGACTGTAAAAAATATATATTAGATAACAATGACAGAATACAGCAAATTTCTGTATTGATGTGGTCATCCAAGAGTACATAATGAAGTTTATATTAGGCTAACACATGACTGTTTGTATAGGTCGGTGTAAATGAGAATGTAAATAACATTTGTTACCGTTTTCTCCGCAATGAAACCATCTGTAAATGCTCGACTGCTTTTCGGTTTTGGGAGTCATCTTAGGAATCTGAAAAGATGTAACGGAAGTTTGAGTAAAGAATTATTAACGCACAGCCACTCTTATCAAAGCCGACCAATCCCTGAAGGAATATGTCGTCATTCACATGAATTTACACAAAGACAACTAGTTACACAGTAAGTATACTGATATCCTAAATTTCCTCACGAGTGTGCTTCATCTGACTCACTTCAGTTGTCAACTTCACTGAAATCCAATGGACGGTCTATCTACCATGCAATGATGCGCTACACTGTGAGATGAATATCTACGTCACTTGACGGAAATGTAATTGTGAACCACTACAATGCTGCCGCATGTGAATTTACTGTCATGTCTAGGAATTTTGTTAATGTACTCACTTCCATCCATTACCGTACATACAATTACTGATTACCTCGAAGCAATCAAAATGGATTCAGTTCAACACAAATGAAATCTTCCATCTCACCCGCGCTTTCTAGCTATCACACATCTGTTGTATTTCAAATGGGTGAAGTACTAAATGTTAACATTCGAACAAGTACACACTGAAAGACGATCAAGATTTTAACAATTTATCTTGCAGATTATTTGGCAATGAAATTTCCAAATAGCTGGACTTCAGAAGACGCAGTAAAACTTGACATAAAGTGACTGTGTTGTAAAGCACTATAAAATGCATTGTTTGTCCTTAATCGCCTCAAGGACGTCAGAATTTCTATCGATAACATTTGACTTCCAATAATTCACTCTTTTTAAAAAGTGCTAAAATAAAGTGTGTCATTATGGCGTTAAAAATTGTTGATATCCTTCTATCGTGTTCAATGTGGTCCGAAATTCATCAAACAACACTACATTACCAATCAAACTTGCAACTTACGTTCTCATAATAGATTGATATCTTCCCACTCGGATGTATCGAAGTAGTTATAATGAATTCAGGATCTACAAGCAGAAGAGCATCGTTATTTAGAATTTGAGGTGTTGGTGATTAGCATGTCATTGTTGGATGCGAATATGAATGTGCCTACATGCGAAGTGATCAGTTTTAGGCAGGTATTTTCTCCGTTATCTCAAATGTTTTCTTTGGTAAAATTCGTAATAAATAAATGAAGCAAGCATGCATCCTTCAATATAAATGTCAGATAACTACGTTCCGAAGCTGTATTACAACACGTTTTCATATCGAAATAATAAACCATCAAGCTTTAAATTAAATCAGATAGTTGAGGAGGTATTGACATTTGCACAACACTTTCTATAATTACCGCTGGAAAAATGAACCCTTTTTACACATGACATCAGCCATGGTTTGTTCGTTAACAAATAGAACATGATACCTTATTTGGTTATGCAACGCATTGGTTTATTAGTGTTCGGTAACGATGGAAAATGAATAGCTTCAGATTATTCGTCTTGGTGATTTCTTGATTTGAATGGATAATTTTTATGAATGACCGTGTGGTGAGTAACACTAATTTACTTATTTCGAAATACAGACTTCTGATCAAGCATCATTGAGGTCTGTTGACCAAGATGTATCTCTACATTCGTTTGTCCACAAGTAAAATGAGTTAAAGACTCAATTTATTCATACGGATCTATTTATTGCACGTCAAGTCTAGTATGCTCCTGATTATGTCAACTGTCCTTCAGGTCACAATCATTGTGTTCAAACAATCGATGGATTCGACATATAATTCCGCCTTCCTAATTTTCTGGGATGGTTACACTTTATTACCTCTGTCAGTTTTTAAAAAAATTCAGTGATATAAAATGAAAATAAAATGTGTAAGCAAGTACTGCGAATGATGGTGTAAGTGTTTAAATGATTCATGTGTAATCAAATAATCATTTCATGGATACATACTTTCTAGATCAGCTACTAGATAATAAGACTTTCTGACGGCTAATAGTTCCTCTGAAATGATGAAAGTAAAAATATTTGTGTTTTTATATTTATGTATAATGAATATCCGCAGAAAATGAGTTTGGACACGAGTTATCATCTTTCTTTCACGATATAGGTAAACCGGTTAAATTAAATGGGATTCGCAAGGAGACTAATAATTATTTCAACGATATGGTGAATGTTTCAATCCAACCAACCAACATTGTTTATTATTGTACAGGTGTTCGGTTTGATTCTTTCGATTTATTATTACTACTCAATCAATTTGCGTTTATTTTGAAGTGAACCATCGTTTTCACTTGACAGTGGTGTGTACGTGTTGCGTACACATTTTAGAGCATCGAATCACACAAACAAATTAATCACTGTGTACTGTTCAGCTCTCAAAAAATAACCAGGTCAAATATTGAATCATTTATGCAAAATAAAAGTGAGAAATGAAAGGCGAAGCAAATTATCACCGGATAATAGAGGTACTCACGCTGATCCGAAATATCGGTTTTCACACGAAAACCGCTTCTCACATAATTTTTAATTACTCCTGAGTACTCGTCATCGTACACTTCAATTCTACCTGTGTTCATCGAATGAAAAACATGAAATTCAAATGACATTCTGTAGAGAATGAATTAAAGACTTTTAGATTAACTGGAGACAAAATGAGTTTCATGGACCGTATTTAAATTTCTGTAAGGCTTTAAACTGTTTACAACTTGAACGAAATAAGATATCAGTAGATGTTCTGAATGCTACAAAGGGCATAAAACTGATTTACTGAAGAAATTAAATCAACATTGGTACACGGAATGAAATGTGAATAAACAAAATTCGGTACCAGTTTT